TGATAGGAAATCCAAGACACTCTCTAACCATTATTTTATTTCTGGCATCTCTTCTGCGCTTACAGTTAAACACCCAATCGATTCATTAGTGATATTAAATTATTTGATACTGAGTTACGTATAATATAATGAAATAAAACACAATTGATCAAAATAACATTTATATACATTACTAGAGTTTCATTCAATTTTTGCATTTATCGATATTTCTCTGTAAGAATTTATTTGTCTTTTTTTTGTTGAATTCTCATTTGTTTAGCAAATATTAGTTATCATAAATCCAATGAATCCAAAGTCAATATTGAGTTCTTTGCTCTTGACTTCTGTATTGCTCTCAAACTACAACTAAATCAATATTAGAGTCGAAATATATTTAAATACATTATTCAAAATGAAATATTTCCTTNATAAATCCAATGAATCCAAAGTCAATATTGAGTTCTTTGCTCTTGACTTCTGTATTGCTCTCAAACTACAACTAAATCAATATTAGAGTCGAAATATATTTAAATACATTATTCAAAATGAAATATTTCCTTCGAAATCATACTTTTACCATAATATAAATATTTGTTATTTATAATAACAAACATGTGTTTATATCTAATTCAATTTGTTATTTTTAATAAACATTATTTGCAAAACATATTTTGTGACAATTACTTCAAGTTTCGATGTTATGTCTGAAATAGTTTTAAACAATAGCAAACATTAGGGCACGAAATAGTGTTCATTACATAACACACACTAATTCTTTGCAACGAAACAATTGAATACAAAGTAAATTAATATGCAATTCATTGATTAGTTTAGTATTACTAATACTGTATTAGTATTAACTAATACTATTGAATAGCAGATTTTATATGGTGTACATTAGATCGTATGGTGTATTTATTTGTCGTTTCCTTTATTTGCAAAAGTTATCTAATTTTTATTATCGATTTAGTGTTATCTGGAAATAAATTACTTGAACATCAAAACCCAAACGCTTATCAGATTTGAAACGTTTGTGAAAACACTTTAGAAGAGACTGAATGTCAGATTGTTTTATGACTAATAAAAAAGTAAATGTAAGCAAGAATTGAATTCACAAATGATAAGTGCTTTGCTTTACATTCATTATATCAATTCAATTACAGAATTGCATGTATTTTATGTATGAATTAGTTTTGTAACATTTAAAGCACACTTTAATGGAAGCTATTTATGTGTTTTCCCATTTAAAAAGTCATACATTTATTAAATCATTTCGAAATAAACGATAATTACATCCAAAGTGTTGGCCAATCGGTGCATATAATGGTGAAAATGTCTGTAAGTCGTCGAGTTTGCATACATTTGGCCATTGGTTTGTCATTAATGGGAATATTTCTCATTGCGATGGGAATAACATTGAGATTAATCGCAAACTCCAACACAAACTTAAACCGAAAGACAGGATTAGTGGCCACCGTATTAACAGTGATGGGATGTGTTGTCATCATTGGTGTGAAACTATCTCTGGTATCATTACTTTGTGTTAAGAAATTCAGGTGTTGTGCCAAAAATAATAGTCAAACTCGTGTTAAAAGTGTTAAGAAACCCAAACCATTGAAACTACTGACAAGAAGTGGTGACCAGAGTTTAGATAGTGATGAGCAAATGTCGAGCACTGGACATGTGGCCACTCCTAACTGGTCCTATCACTCGAGAGTTGACTTGAAGTCATCATCGCATCCATTACTGACTGAACCCAAGAGAACCTCCTGTCCATTACAGGCCCCGCGAGAGTATGATCTTTGAATGTGATCTCAATTTCTTTAGTCAATCATCCATTGGATTATAAATGACTTTTTTCCCATTAATAACTAAAACCGTTTTAATGTAAATGTCATTTTTGTCAAATAGTTTTATTTTTTATCACTTATTTTTTTATAAATTGATATAAAAAATTTAATTAAGTATTAAATATAAGTTTTAAGGCACAAACAACTTATTGCAAAATCTATTCATTACTATACAGTATATATGAGACATTTATTACAAAAATATTGGGACTTATATTATGTAAATTCTATTTCTCTAAATATTTATATACAATGTAGTCATATATGAATAATATATTATATTATTGTAATAAATCAGTATTTTCTATGTTTAATGAATCGGTGTTTTGTGTTAATCTCATAGCATATGAATATCTTGTGTTTGTCGTGATTTAAGGCTTCCGTTCTTCAGAATTGATTTTAATTGAAATTTATCTGAATTTTGCATTTGAATGGTATTGTTTGGACTATACATTACCGACTCATTTGTATTATTGGCAGCATTTATGTGATTACAATAACTATTTAATTGCTTTTGAATTAATATGGCGTTTGAGGCGTCCATTTCGCAGTTCTAGTAAATTAAATTAATTAATTTCATTAGAGTTATAGTGATTTGTTAGACAATACAATGTATAGCAATGCACTCTTACATCGATATTAGGATTCTTGATAATATCGGGACAATTCTGTGCCTCTAATGATAAGCCGTTTGTTAAGTGCAAGTTCTGGCAATTTCTTAGCAAAACGTGATTCAATGGCTGTCCTATGGATGTACTCGAAGACGAGTGCAAATCATTCATAAGAAGTACTTCGCAATGTTTTCCTGCGTCCGTGTCGTCAATATAAGTCGATTGATCGTCGATTGGCGTCAATGCAGTCGTTATGTCCACCTCTTCCTCATTAAATGCCTTCAATAGTATTGTCTCTCCGTTCACCGCATCCTTATATACCTTGACTTTTACTTTATTAGCATTACTAATGTTGGGTTTGCCAGTCATCTGATCCTTATTTCGACTTTGAATGCGTTTTTTCCATTTAAAATAACAGATTAAAAGACTCACATTNATATTATACGTAACTCAGTATCAAATAATTTAATATCACTAATGAATCGATTGGGTGTTTAACTGTAAGCGCAGAAGAGATGCCAGAAATAAAATAATGGTTAGAGAGTGTCTTGGATTTCCTATCATTCGCCTTATATTTTGTTAGGATTTCACTTACGGACTATTTTTATAACCATAATTATTGCAATCAACACAAATTCATTGCAAAAGTATTGGCTTTAATGATATAAGAATCAAAATAATTAGTTTATGAATAAGAAATACGAGAATTCATATGTGAGAGCAATGAGAAAGAGATGCCTAGCATTGGAAACACGTCTTGATGTTCAAGTGTTTCAAATTGATGTTCAGTTTACATGTCATTCAAATGACACTGAAATGTGCTTCACTTGTGCTCATACCATCTCTTTGTAAAATCCATTTTTGCTAAAAATTCAATATATACTAAATTATTCAACTAATAGTATTTTTAATAAAAATTATTGTTTTGATATACCAATATTATTACCATTACTACTCATGACTTAGAATAGTTAGACGTGAATATTGTTTGAACTTGGTTATTTATTAAAAATACTATTAGTTGAATAATAGTATATATTGAATTTTTAGCAAAAATGGATTTTACAAAGAGATGGTATGAGCACAAGTGAAGCACATTTCAGTGTCATTTGAATG